GGCAGTGAGCTTAGCCAGCAGGAAGTTTTTCACACCAGGAGGCTCTGGTATCTCAAATAGCTCTGCGTAAATTTGTTTCAAATCAGTTCAGCTGAAAACCCACTTGTCTAAAATTCTGATTTTGAAGAACAAGCAGTATCACACCACTAACATTTCCTTTATAGTATAATAGCTGATGGTCCTTAAGCATTTTCACATCTTAGGCGTCTTTTGTTCTTCAGAACGCTTTTGAGCATTTCCTGTTTTTGAGCATATTCGACAAAAAGCATTTCTGCCTTATTTGACTGAAATAGTCCTTAAAATTATAAAAAGTTAGCTAAATGGGGGGAAATGGCACTCAAAAATGAAAAAGAAAATGCTTAAAGCAATCTGAAATTGGCCTGTTGGATATGAAGTTTAAATTTTATGAACATAGTCATCAATGTGTGATATGAAATAAATTAAGCACTAGAGCTCCTTTCGGAGGACTGGCTTTTTCCCAGGCAACCAAGGGCACTGATGAAAATTTCCATCGGGGAGGCAAGGGTGAAGGACACCAGGGTGCCTCTGAACCAAGCCCCTAAAAAGCTGCCTTTGGGGCTCCACACAGGCTCTCTACTCCAGCTGAAGGAGGGGCATCTTGTCTCTGTCCTCAGCCCACCCTGGCTCCTGCAAGAGTGACCCAGCCTGCTAGCTTTCTCTCCACCTTCTGCTTCTCCGGGTCATAACTTGTAGGTGCCAGCATCTTCCTGTTCCATTTCTGCTGAACAGGGGGAAGCCGGCAACCCAGGATTTAGACTCCATATCCCTCTGGTTTCTAACATTGTGAAGTGAAAGGAGAGGGGGGTAAAAAATCATTTTTCTCTATTTTTCTTTTGACCTTGGGAGATGCTTCCCAGTAAAAGCGACTAATACGCACAGGTACCAACACGCATATTCATCCAGCTGATGAACTGGTTTTGGAGCACATGTCAGATTCAAGGCACCACTCACCCCCATTAGCACAGGTGCTGCACGTATACACGCACGTACACACGTGTGTTAAACATAAAATGTTTGTATCGTTAAAACAGTGGGGCAGTGGATTAATTAAACAGACATGACGAGCTTTCTGGAAAACTCACTGCCTTCTCATTGCCTGAGGGGTGAGCGTGCTGTGCTTAGGCTCTCCTAAGGAACCTGATGAGATTTCAGACGCCTCTTCGCTTTTGTCCCTCATGATGGTTGTTTAAAAAGAAGTCTCTTGAGGGAAAACAACAAGAACAAAAACATTCCACTGTAAATGACTTCAGCGTTGTTACCTGGATTGCTACAAATATCAAAGACACATGAAGTGCGTAGGAATGAAGGGTAATGTTAAGAGGAACAATATGAACAGTGTAATGCCGTCTAATATTTCAAATTATAAGGCCCTGAGCTAACTCAGGTAAAAACAAAAATTTTGAATCTCACTGACATTTTCCTTAGAGTAAGAAACTTCAGAACAAATTAAATGTAGACCAAAAAAAAAAAAAAGGAAGTCGCTTGACTCTTCTCTTTGGGGCTTCAAATTTTAGAATAACCTGGAGCCACGGTATACACCCAGGATTTAGGTATCCTTGAACCTCCACAGTTGTGCAAAATTGTATGCGTATGAGCATATTTCTGGATCTAATTTTTTTTTCCTCTTACATTCTCACTAAATGTTCAGCTCCAGAAATGTGGATGCCCATGAAAGTGTGGCTGGGCAACGTGCACTAGCCCGTGAAGAGCTGTGATGGCAGGGTCAGCTTGGTCACTCGGTCTTCCTCTGTTTCCTGAGCTGGCCTTTCCCTGTATTTTCTGGAGGGGTCCCTCCCTGTTATTTTCCTTCCACAATCGCAGGCTTCTGCTGGCCTCTTGGCCACGACCCAGCTACAGGGTTCAGCCTGCAGAGCTGTCTGGAATGAGAGAGGCCGGTGCTGAGCACACGCACCCCAGACCAGGGCAAGCCTGCAAAGTCTCCTGCTCATGGCTGTGGCTGTTTGCAGTGGGGTTGAGAGGTTGCCTCTTTGATCCTTTTTTTTTGTAGTCAGGAAGGAGGGCCTTCTCCAGCTGCCCACTTCCTCTCGGCACGTTTACCAAGAACCACAGATGAAGAGTGGAGAAAACACCCCGTTTTAGAGTATAGCAACCATCCTCGAGGACTAGCAGCCGCTAATGCGGTTTCTGGATTCCACTGTTTCGTGCTATCCTTACCATCTCTTGTAAAAGAGAATTCATTTCTGGATGTGCCTTAAGTGACTTCTATCAGCAGTTTCCTTTGAAGAGCAGATCCCCGAATGCCTTGCAAATCTCAGCTCACCAGCCTTCTGCTCCAGGGGAAGCCGGTGCCATCTGAAGGAACCTCTTGCCTCCAAGCCCCCAGGTATTCCCATCACAGCACCTGCCTATGTTCCCGGAACACTCATGTCTAGCTGGAGCTTCCGTGTTTAATGTCAGTCAATCACTTACTATTAGAATGTAAGTTCCATGAAAGCAGGAACGAGTCTGGCTTGGTCACCGCTCTATCCTCAGCACAAAGAACAGTGCTTGGCACAGAGTAGATGCTCAATAAATGTTTACTGGATAATCGACTGATCCAGTTTAAGAGACTGTAAGTTCCTGCACCTGGGTCCAAAAAGCACCCATGTTGATATACAGTAGGTACGGATCATAGCAATTGATACAAAAGACAGAGTGGTTTTAGTTGTCCATAATCCCAGAATCAGTAACAGGTTGGCGTAGTCTACAGAAAAGCTGCTTTTATCTTATGCTTCAATAATGCAAGTACGGTTTCTAGTATTCAATATGCAATGAATAATCACGACAGCTGGTGCCAGGTCCTGTTTGAGGGATTAAAGTAAGTGCAAAGTCCTGAGGCCGGAGGGGAGCAGGCCAGCAGAAGGGTGGTAGGAAAAGAAGGCCCAGCGGCAGGGAGGGGCCGTGGTAGGAGGAGGAGGGGGCCCCAGTGCCTCTGCACTGATCAGCCCATGGCAAGGGCGCTCAGTTGTAAGTGAGCATGAGAGGGAGAGACCTGGGGGCCCAGGAGAGCCGCCCGGGAGCTGAGGCACTCAGGTCCACAGCACGGGCTGGGGTGGGGAGGCTGGAAGAATTGAAGATACTCGGTTTGGAGAAGAGTGGCCCTGGGGGAGGACCTGTGGAGGAGGGAAGAGGCTGATCTGCTCGTAGATTCTGTGCGGCCCAGGAGTCAGAGGCAGCAGCGGCGACACAAGCAGCAGGCAAGGCTGCTCCTGAAGCCCCAGGTTCTCTGAGCCACTCTCTCTGTAGATGATTTGAGCACAAGGTCGGTCAGATTGCAGCCGAGCCACTGAGCCACTACAGATTTCAGGTCTCTGCTGTCAAACTCAGGTCACACGGCTTTGAAAACGTCTGCATTTTATCCTTTTAGAGTGGAGATTAACAGTCTGGCAGGCTATTAACAATGCATCGCTGTTCGGAAGAGCTAAGAATTTGGTTCACCATGTTAGGGGCAGTGAGAAGTGTGCTTTCTGATAAAAAAGAATGTCTTGCTCAAAAAGGCAATTGCTCACCAAACAGATCCTGAACACTGCGGATAGAGAGGGTGTGAGACGAGGCCGAATTTACCACTTTATCAGAAATTCCACCAGCTGTGACCATGACAGGTGTGAGTAATGGTAGAAATGGTCACAGCCAATGACTGGTCACTCCCTTGTTCAAGAACATACCATGGCTCCCTAGATACAGGTCACCTTCCTAAGTAGGGTGTCTGGAGACCCTCGGAAACCAGGCCTTCTCTACGTCTCAGGTGTCCCGGCCACCCTGACACCAAGCCAGTTCTCCTGCCTCACATCAGGCCGTCGGGCCACAAGGCTTCCGGAGCTCCTGCCCTGTGCTCAGGCCTGGGAAGGCCCAGCCTCTGTCCTCAAGGAATTCGTGTTTGCTTGAGGAGGCTTTGTCAGCAACGGGAAGCAGTCAGTGAGCCCGCTGAGCGCTGCACTACAGAGTACAGATTACGGATGCCAGCAGAGATGGGGGCTCCTTGGCTGGCTGAGTGCGTATACACAGAGTGGGTGGAGCTGGGAGACAAGGGCACTGTACACTGTCCCCCACCCAGACCAGCAGCCAGGCGTGGCTGGAATACCCCCTGGGCTCCGTGTGCCTGTGGTGGACAGTCCCCCACGTAAGCCAGGGTCCTACCTGAAGCACTGCACTGGCATCTCTGTTCTGCTTTCTCTAAACCACAGAAAGCCGCTGGCTGCATGCAGACATGGCAAAGCTGAAGACAGGCCCCGAAAGCAAGTCTCAATTGGGCGGGGGGCGAGGGTCAATGGGAAGGTGTCCCAGGCTCCCGGTGCCCCAGCAGGACAGTTCTGAGGCCCCTCAGCCCCCAGAGGACAGAGCCTTGGTTGCCCATAAGTAAGCAGCCGGGCAAGGCACTCTTTTCCCAACCACTCTGCCCCATAGCCTAAATGAGAAAACGGAGGGCTTTTCTCACCCCAATCACCTAGCTAGTAAAAGGCGGAGGGAGGATGCAGACTCGGGCCTGGAAAACCTAGAGGGCTGTGTCTTAACCACCGGGCATTTGCATGGGGAGGAGGACGGGACCTGGCAGGAGGCTACAGAGGAGAAAGATACTACACTTGTCATTGTCATGACAAGGGGCCTTCCCAAACTCCTCCAGCCCCGTCCTCTCCCTGCCACAGGGCGGAGATGGTCCCCGGGAGTCACCCTCAATTATCTGGAGCCTGGAAAGCAGCCAAAACTCTTGAGTAATTAAGCACGGATTGGACGCCAGAGAATACAAGCCCTGTAGGAATTGGGAATAGCGCTTCAGCACTTGCCACCCAGAGGTAGGAGAGGTCTCCCCCTTCCCTCCACCCACAGCAGGTCCTGGCCCTGGGACAGGCAGAAGAAGCAGGGGGAAAGGAGGCAGGGGGATGGAGATAGGAGCGCGGGGGAGCCTAATGAAGGCTCTGGTCCGCCCTCCCCACTCCTGCCTCAGGCCTCCCGTTCAGATCATATCACTGAGGACTGGGTACCTGGGTTCCTGGCTTCAGGGATGGCACAAGGTCTTTGATCATTTTGGCTTCCGAGACTGTGACCCCGCCCACCACGAAGAGAATCAGAAGAGGGTGGTCGCTGGGATGAGGCCGGCTCACCTGCAAAAGAAACCACCCCCGGCGTCAGAGGCGTCTTCAGGTGAGATGAACAACCCTCAGAGAGGGTGGGATCTGTTAGGGGTCGGATGTGTTAGTGGTCTGTGAGCTCACTGACCAGGAACACGCACAGCATGTCACCTTCTTACAGCCCTTTCAATAAATATTTTACTGAAAGCAAAGTTACAGGAGTAACTATTAAACTACAGTAACTACAGGAGCACTATTAAATACGCAGAGAAGACCGAGGGCAACTTCCCCTCCTGTTCGGTCTGCAGGTCTCAGCGTAAGCGTGCTCCTGCCTTACAGAGCTCCGTGCATCTCCTTCCAAGCACGTGCCACAGCCTGGGGTCATCGTCTCTCCCCTGACGGCTGTCTCCTCTAATGGAACACAAGCTCCACGAGGCGGTGATCTTGTCTGCCGGGTTCACTGCTAAATGCCCGGTGTGCCTAGCGCAGTTTCTGGCTCAGAGTGGGTGCTCAGTAAATGTCTGTGGAATAGACGGATGGTTAGAGCCCTAGGAGGGGGCGGTGGAGGGCGGGCAAAGATGCAAGAGCCCTGCACCCACCCTCGAGTGCAAACTTCACGCCCTTACCTTCTGCAAACCAGCCTCAGTCAGCTGAGGTTGGCCTCAGCCAGAGCTGAGGCCCTGCTCCGCGTGCAGCATTGCACTGGAGGTCGTGGGGAATTCCTCCTGGTGCCTCATGATTGCACCAGTGAGGCAAGGTATTATAAAACAACTAAAATGAGGGCTTCCCTGGTGGCGCAGTGGTAGAGAGTCCGCCTGCGATGCAGGGGACACGGGTTCGTGCCCCGGTCCTGGAAGATCCCACATGCCGCGGAGCGGCTGGGCCCGTGAGCCATGGCCGCTGGGTCTGCGCGTCCGGAGCCTGTGCTCCGCAACGGGAGGGGCCGCAACACTGAGAGGCCCGCGTACCGCAAAAAAAAACCCAAAAAACCAAAAACAAACGAAAAAAACAACTAAAATGAGAATGTCTCCCAGTAATCTCTCAGAAAATGTGCAAGGCCAACATACAGACCTAGTGACTAACTGAAGGGGACGAGAGGGGGTTCCTGAAGACAGTGTGTTTGAGCCCTACCTGGAAGCCCGGGATGGTTCGGTGAGAAGTGGGCAGAAGTGTTGTGAGCCGAGCGCCGCAGGCAAGCAGTCACCAGGTCGGGGGAGCAGGCCAGAGGCCCAGCCGGGACAGCAGCATGGAGTCATTATGGGAAGGACGCTGTCAGCTGCCTGCATGGCCACTGAAGCCCGAGGTGGGAGAAACAGGCTTGACTCCAGCCAGGAGAGGGTAGACAAAGGTGGTAAATGTCTGTACTCATTCGCACCCACTAACACACAAGCCATCTTTGGGCCAAGGGACGGTCCCCCGGAGCAGCAGGTTGGGACATCAGGCTGACAGGAAGAGAGGAAGCCCCTGCTCTTACCCCAACTGCAACTCCTTTCTCAATTTGGTTCTTTTGACTCCCCTGCCTAAATATACCCACTTTTCAATGTCTTTTTTAAAAACACTTAAAAAGGTAATACATTAAGTATTTCCAGTTATATAAGTTGCTCCTTGGCTTCTGGAGAGGAAACTCAGAGTGGATGGGGGGGAGGGAGGTAGAGAAATAGGGGAATGGAGGGAGAGAAATGAAAGGCAGAAAGAAAGAAAGAAAGAAGGAAAAGTAGGTCTAAACTTTTTCAAAATGGGTGGTGGCGAACGCTGAAAAAGTTACAAAACTCTTTGATCTTTACCTCACCCCACCCCCCAACCTTCTGCGCTGTAGCTCCATCCCCTTGACTGCATTTGCTGACTGCTGTCTTCCAGTCCGAGTACCACACACCCACGGCCATCCTGCTTTTGTTCCACTGTTCCCCTGGAGCTGCTCTCATTGCAGCCACCAATGGCCGTCATGTGTCGGAGTCGATAGACAGTTCTTTGTCTTCATTTAACTGGACATTTCTGTGGCATTTGTCACAGTGGATAACACCCTTCTTGGCTTCCACAATAGCACACTGTCTTGGTTATTTCTTTTACCTTTCCACTGATTTCTTCTCAAATTCCTTCATAGGTTCCTTTTCTTGGTCTGCCCTTTAAGTGTCGACGCTCCTTAGGGTTCCATCTTTGGCCCCTTGCTTTTCTCACTTGAGGACCTCATCTACTCATATGCCTTCAATAATCTTTTATATGCTTCCCAAATCTATGTCTTTAGCATCACTATTGAGTTCCTGTGGCCATCTCCACCTGGATGCCTCCTGGGATCCCTCAACTCAACAGATTTCAAATTTGATGCATGATCTTTCCCCAAGTCTATTCCTTCCGTTGACTTTCTAAGAGCATCACCTCCTTCACAGTCTCCTGAGCCAGACCCTTGAGAGTCATCTTGGACTGTGCTGTCTTTTTCATCTCCCAGATCAAGTCCTGTTAATTCTTCCCCCTCCAATTCACTGATCTCTCCTTGATTTCCACTATCCCTGCTCTGGTAGGCTCTCATTCCTTCTTTACTAGATTATTGTTAGAGTCTTCTAATTTGTCTCCCTGTCCCTGGTCTGGCCACACACACACACCCCCACCCCAATCCAGTCTCCTTGTTCCTGCCTAAGTAAGCTTTCGAAAGTGCAAATATTTATTATTGAATTTTTGTGCGTAATCTTATCCGATTGTCAAAAATCCTTAGGAGGCAAATACGATCATTGGCGTATTTTACAGATGGAGAGACTGAAGTTTACACGTCGTGACTAAACCTTGGAGCCAGGGGCCAAACTGCAGAGGCCACACTCTTAAACACCCCTCAGCTCCATCACATGCTCACATTCTTTCTGGGGAGTCTCCTAACTCTGAGGATAAAGTTCAGACTCCTCAATTCAGTATATAAGGCTCTTCTCACATGGCTTTGCTTTATGCCTCTATTTTCATCTCCTCCATATGCACTATTTGCTGGAGTCACTCACGAGGACTTGAGCCATCCATGAATGCAAGGTCTTTTTTAAAAAACTTTTTGTTAAACATACAACACTTTACTGAACATTTGCACTGAAAAGAGCACTTATCACAAGTGTGCAGTTCAATTTATTTTCACAAACTAAACAAATCCTTGTGACCAGTACCCAGATCAGGAAACAGAAAGCCAGCACTCTGGATCCCCACTCAGGCCCCCTTCGTGTCACTACCTCACCAAGGGGTAACTGCCATCTTGACTTCTAGCCACTCGATATCAGATTTAGTTTTGCTCAGTGATATACCCTGGGGATTTGTCCATATTAGGAGGAAAGATCTTTAGCCCACGGGCATTGGTTGGGACCACACCAGTGGGTTTTGGCCTGTCTGTGCCCATGACATTCCAGTTATTAAACAGTTAGAGCACCAACTGCATCATCTTGTTTTATGTGGCACGGACAGTTTCCTCTGTGTAAAGTACCCCTGCCTCCCCTTCTGTACCTCCTTCCTTTTTACTCTCTTTAAAAGGCACCCTCGCCTCTAAAAAGTTCTCCCTAACCACCTCTCAACTCCTGCCCCATGACCCGAATCTGACAGATACCTCTGCCTTGGCCTTGTCACACTGGACTGCGACCTTGATAGACCTGTTTATCTCCTCTCCTAGGCCGTAAGCTACTGGAGGGTAGGGATTGATCATATTTATCTCGGTATTTTGGGGTCTGAGCATAGAGCTAGCTCATGATAAACTTTCAACAAATGTTGCATGAATAAAATGAATGAATGAATGAATGAGGTCCACAGGGTAACTGGAGATATTCTTCTTTTCTTTGAGATCTTTTAGACACTCTCTCTTTGCTTTACGCGTGGTTCTTCCTGGCTGAGTAACTAACCGGGGTTCCTTCCAACCCTACAAACAATTGTTTCTCACTTAATGCTGGGACAGAAATACAACTGGCTCCAGAACTTCAAGTGGTACAGTATGTTCCCAAAGACATATGCTTTCCATAAGAGAGTGTGGACTCTGAAGTACATTGTGAGAATCTTGGAAGGATGTATTGAAAGATGAAAAGGAAAAAAGAAATGAACAGCAACAACAAAGAACAATACCCTTTGGCCAACGAATTGAGGGAATGTTGACTGTGGTACAAATTAACGGGCCCCATTAATGCATGTTGCTGTTTGCCATTTTGGTTTCTGTTTAGATTTATGTTTTGATACCAGGTTTCCTTTTAGAACATGTCAAATCGGCAGGCTATTGGGAAGTGGAGCCTTTCCAGTCTTTTCCATCAGAATAACACATTCCTTATAACCAGCCACATTCGGCTGAGTCCCATTTGTATGTGGGTTCACGGTGTAAGGCACTTTGATGATGAAAGATTTAAGTGTCATTACTGCCGTCACAAACACACAGATTAATAAAGCAAGTCAGACTCATTGCTCTTTCTTTCATTTTCTAAACCTTCACTGGCTGGGATTTTAAGACGTCAGGTTCTGGTCAGAGAAGACAGTTTCTCCCCACCATCCATCCAGCCTTTGAAGCAGGGGCTGCCGACACCTTCTCTGCAGCTGTGGTCCCGAGAGCGCTCTTTGATGTCCTGACTGGTTTCTATGAGAAGGGTTTCCTCTGCTCCCCGTTTCTCTGGAGTTCTCCAGGCGTTCCAAGAACCCAGCTGCTGATTCTCCTCCAATCTGTTTCTCTACATGTGTGACTTACTTGTCCCCAGCACAGGCAAGGGTCAGGTCCCCCACCCTCCAACGATGGGCCGGGCCTCGTAGGAGGGAGACAGCGTAATGGGAGCGTTGGCCCAAAGGGCACTGGGCCCTGAGACCCGCCATGCTGACTTTGAAGGTGGCTTGGTAATGGCTTTTCTCCCAACAGGAGGAAGTAACAGCACTGCCACTGCGGCCAAACACTTCACGTCTAGCACAACCTTTTACTCATTTATTCATCCAGTCCACAAATATTTATTGAGCAACTACTATGGGCCAGACACTGCTCTAGGCACTGGGGACTCCGCAGCGAACGAACCCGAGAGGACTCCCTGCTGCACAGAGTTTATATTTTC